CGCTTCCATGTGTTTCTTCTCCACCCATGCCACCAGCTTCTCTACTGACAGCACATTCCCCTCCGAGCATGCAGTCATCGAGCGGATACAGTGTATCCTTCTGCAACCATCCTTGAGACTTGTGCCGGTATGAGCCGGCTGCCTTGTAACCCTTTTGGAACCACCCAGACCACACAAAGGGTTTAAGACAACAAGCCTCCCATTGGGTATTCACCCTAATCAGCCCTGGCAGCCGGTACTCTGAATTAATGTGACACGCACGTGAACCCGCCCCCTCCATCGTCAATCCCCATCATCACAAGGCCACCTGATTTGCCGCCTTAAGGCAAGCTTGTGTATGGTCCTCTACAAGACGGGGGGCCCGGTGAGGTCAGCCGCCAGTAGCTCCTTGTACCCAGGGCGGGAAAACACCTTGGGGTAGACGGTGTAGCAGCCGGTACACAGTACGGTGCTATAAATACGCGCAGAGCGCGACCGCCAGCAACTCGAGAGACCTTTTCAGCGGTCAGCTGCTACAGACGGGGCCGAATGTTAGCGAAGCAGCCTCTACCCACGGAAGCCCCTCAATGAGCGTGCCGGTGGGCCACTCGCAGGGATACACAGAACAGATTGAACAGCGAAAAGAAATGAAGGTCCACGCGAACCTCGCAGAGATAGTACTGATGGCGAGCTGGCGGTATTCTAGTATGGGCACCGTACTTGTATACTTGCATGTCATCAGCCAAGTCTTATCATTACCTGCCTCGCTGTCTATGTTCTTGTATTCCATTGTTATACCTGATACAGTTTACACTAGCCACGACTCTAGGATACAGGATGGACCAATAGCTTCCGCGCCGTCTTGACCTGAACAAGTGCAACTCTATAGTTCCATAAGCTGGAAAATGGAACAAGACTTTCAAAATTGAACTCCGGTGTGCTTTAGGAGATTCCTATGAACATCAGAGCCTAAACATGATACCGCTTAGTTTTGAGCTGGGAGGTAACATGATATCAGCTAGCATGTTCAAGGAGCAGAATGCAATGTATTACTTCAAAGGCTGTTCGGGATCAGCCAGGAGGGCCTGGCCATCGGCGGGCCCGTGCCTGGCAAGGCGACCGCCACCAGCAACTTCATGACGCAGTTTCAGAAGAAGGTCTTGGACAAGATCCTGCGACCGTCGACTATCACTGCAGACCACGGTGCTGTGGCAGCCGCAGTGGGGGCTGAGGCAGTGGATACTGCGGCTAACGACAGTGATGGTGCAGCAGCGAGAGCAGCCGCTGGGGACCACGAACAGGCGGTGGGTGGCGGAGAGGCTGCTGCCATGGGCACACATGCCGTGGATGGTGGCACGGGTGGCGGCTGCACAGCAGGCGTCGCAGCAGCAGCAACCGCAGGGGGGGACACCGGCACGGGTCCCAGGCAGGGCGAGGCGGGCGTTGCCCAGGTAGAAAACCTAGCAGTTTGGAACCTGGGGAGCATGTTTAACATGGTCGAGGGGTGCTGATGGGTTATGTCAACTTTCAATGTCAGGGCAGCTTGTTGGGTCTTACCCTGATATTTTACCTTGAACGTAAGCACTGGGTGTTGCTGCCCCCCCACCACAGGACGAGGATACCACCAACTATGATGCGTTCAAGGAGAGGGCCGGCGAGGTGCCAAGAGCAGCTAAGGGTGCAGCTGGCAAGTGCAGGCGGGGTGGCGGTGATGACGACGACC